TCCATAGTGTTAGAGCTTGTACAATCTAAATTTCACCCCTTCAAGGCCCTAATTGTGTTTCCTTCTTTTCTTTCTTTTGGTTTATTTAAATTTCCAGTATTATTGCTTGCTGTGAAACTAATTTAAGTCTAATTGAAACTCAGAGTACTGAGATGTGTTTCCTCATGACCTCTGCTAAAAGGAAAAGTTTTTAGTTTGAAAATTCTCAGGGAAAAAGACACTGGTGTGGTTTTCCTTTTCTGTCATCCCCCTCCTATATATATAAATTGAAATCTTATCAATAATTTGTAATCCCTAGCAATGTTTTAACGAACTAGCTGTTCTTTGGATTTAAAAAAGAGGAGGAGAGGGGAGGAGACTGACATATTTTTAAGAGATATGAAATGGTGATACATCCCTGTAAGTTTATTTTTGTAAAGTAAAAGCCAGGATTACTTTTTTAAATCTGTGGAAGCACTTACTGTTGTATCTTCTTGGCATAATTTACATTATCTGGAAATTAACAGCCTTCTGCAAAGTGAGAGTGCTAAATGAAAGGGTGGGTTGGAAAGGCAAAGGGATATTTTTTGTTTAAACCATACAGCTTTTAGCTCATGAGATTGTACGGGGGCTGTAATATACAACTTCCTAAAAAGTATTTATGGTTTAATTTTTTAGGTAGAAAGGGTTCAGAGATGATTATGGCCTTCTTAGAAAACTACCTAATTCTTTTCCTTTGAAGTATTATACTGCATGAGGCATGTGTGCCATTGTTACCTGAAGGGATTTTTTTTTCTTTCAAATAATGCTAATTTCTAACACCGTAATAGCTGTGAAAAATTGCTAACAGACCTGAGGTAGGAAGGTTTGAGTAGAGCAAGTAAAAGATGTTCAAGTAGCCATTGAAAGCCTTGATATGGCCTTTTTACTCTCTCTGTGTTTCCCTTGTTTTTCTCCTTTCCTCATTTCATTGTGTTCTGCATCAAACCCCCTACATCCCTCAGAGCTGCGAGAAGGTTGGTGTGTTTTTTACTTTTTTACCCACCTTACAAAACTATTAATTAAACCAATAACAAAGAATACAAATGAAATGAATGTAGCTGCATTGTGGCCTTTTTATTTTTAAGTTAGTGTTATGTTAAAGCAGAGAATGCCCTGGTCATGGCTTTTAATGTGTGATGATATCTGATTGTTGTGCATGATCAAAGAGGGAGAAAGTCTGGATGCATGACAAACAGCAGTAATACTCCTTAATGCTTAAGGCCTTGCCAACTTGGTCAGTGTTCCTGCTTTTTCCTCCCTTCTTCCAGTTTTCTTTCCTTTTCTTTTATGTTGTTGATGCCTGCTGATCCAGGAATGATTTCCTGCAATTAATTGCTCCTTCAAGCACTCCAAGCATGAAGACTTAAACTTCTCTTGTGTTTTAGTTTTAATTTAAAAACAAAGCAAACCTCCCCCCCCCAAAAAAAATACTCTGTTTGGGATTACAGAGTTTGCACTGCCTGTCACTTGCTTGTGTAACTTTTTAACAATTGGCTGTTAAAGGCATGTTTGGCTCCTTCTTTTCCCTGTGCCCGTCCCATTCACTCATGAGGCCATCAGAGTAAGCCTCTTTCATGTCTATATACATTTATTTCTTCAATCTAGTAGGAAGGTTGAAATGTTTGTCTGGAACTTATAGCCTTGACCCAGCTGAGGTTTTTCCTATATAAATATTTTTTTAAAAAACTCCCATTGTTAATGATAGGACTTAGGCGTCAATTTCTCTAAGTCAGGACCACATTGATTTATTGTATTTTATTACTGAGAGGTACAATTAGCTTCTTGTCTAAAAAGCTGCATAATTAAAGGATATACTACTTTGTATGAATTTGTTGCCCCTCCTTTTTCAACATTTGCATATACAGAGGTAACATACAGAATATATGAAGCAGGAACACTGATTCTTAATCATTTTCTTGGTGTTGTGTTTGCTTAAATACTGATTACTTTGTTAATGCAATACCTTGTTGCTATGTGTTTTAGATACTAATATCCTTCATTATGTACACATAGAGCTGCTTTTAACATTATTGTTAATCCTGGCAACTTATTTTTCTTTCCCTTTTATGTGAAAACTATGGAACCCGGAATGCTTTAATGTTCTGCTCCTTCTTCACTACCATACACTTGCTTCATGACAACCTTAGACTTAATCGAGTACCTTCCTACTTCTTACCTTCTTAAAAGCCCTATTTGTTTCAAATTACCTTATCCTCACATTTTAAAATGATCTTCTCTATCCTAGTATGTTTCTCTCCCAACCTTTTAATTATTTTTATTTCCTTACACAATTTTCCCTCTCCTAAGCATGATTCCTTTTAAACTGTGTCACTTGCTTGCCTGCATGATCAAATCCAGTACTCGTACTGGCTTTGCCTTGTTTCTTCTCTTATGAA